CCCCAAAACCCCAAAACCCCAAAACCCCAAAACCCCAAAACCCCAAAACCCCTTCGATCATCTTTATTATTGAAATACAAATTCATAGCTTATTATTTCATATTTTAATTTTAGCATTGAAATTAGTGTAGCATCTTAGCTCGAGAAGTTAGATATGCTGATCTTTCACTGTAATTATAAGGTCATTAAGGCTTTCGTATAAAGAATTCTTTTTGAATAGTTTTGCTGCAAGCACCTCTAGAGCATCAAAGAAGTGCTCCATTGCCATGAGCTTAGAATCACTCCTATTAACAACGTTCTTATACATTATGTCATAGTGAGCCTTAACTATTTTGCCATTTGTCATACCTCTCAATTTAGAGAGTCTTTGAAATTGCGAGCTGGAGATGAATTCTGGACTCTTGACTCCTCCTAAGCGTTCGAATATCTTTCTTGCTTCTTCCCATATAAAGAATTGATCGTAAAATGGATCTTTTGAAGGAAGAATTTTTTCAAATCAACCATATGAATCTGGAGAAGACTTTGACCTGACGATTTGAATAGCATCTTGCATCACCATACTTTTTAAGTTCTTATCCAAATCCCTTAAGGTTCTCTCTAAATCCCCATTTGGGAGTTCTTTATCTTGGTACATATTCAAACTTGGATTAGCATTTACTTCTAAAAGCCAAGCTTTCATTTTCTTATCAACCAAAATATCAAATCCAAAGATCTGGAAACATCTCAACTGATCAATATTAGGATTAATCGATATCCTAGCAAAGTCTGCTAAATAAGGGATTAGACCAATAATTGTCTTTCGGCATGTGTCTTTAATTTGCTCTAAAATTTTGTCAGGATCTAGTCCTTGTTCTCTCTCTAAATATTCTAGAACAGAAGACAAAAGCCTTTTGTTTCCATTATTTTCCAGTCTCATCATCTCCTTCGGAGTATTTAGATGAGTTTTTGTTAAGACTGAAGTTGGTTAGGTGCATGTATTTAAGCCTCCTGTTTGATCTATCAGGTGCCTTGTATAATTCTGTGCATAATCTTACCATTCCTTCATTACAAAAATAGCATTCAAGAGGATCGAGACCATTGACCAAGACATAAATCCTCAAATCGAACTTCTTCTTGTCCACCAGCAAAGGATCGGTAATGTAATGTTGAACCAGCAACTCCGAGTTCGAGTGCCACCTCGGAATGTCAGTTATTCTGTTGATCAGAAAGATTCCGTCTCCGCCACAGCCTTTGGATGGCTTTGCTATGTACCACATGTCTTTGTACTTGGTCATATCTTCATCAAGGAGGTCTTCTTCTTCCGGGAGCATGTAGGACAGCGGAGTGAACTCGTATTCTTCTCCGAAGTACTTCTCCATCCGGTTCATGATGTTACACAGGATCTTCTTCCTTGCAAGCAGTTCGGAGCCAGGGTACCTATTGAAGAAGAGTTCGTTGCCTGACTTGCCTTCGACTCGCGACTTGATGATGTCGATGTCGCAGTCGCGGAGACTCACTCCGTACCAGATGAGGTTGCCTTCGCCGATGCTGGTGGTCTCATACCATCTGCACAAGTCGATTACATACTGGAGAGTTTCCCGTTCTTGCCGTCAGTGCCGAGTGTTGACCACAAACTTCTTGCGCTTTTTGCTCTTAGGCAGGCTGTCGTCTCCGCGGCGGTAAAACCTGTTCTGGACTGGACTGGCGTCTTCTTCGTAGAGTTCGGAGGGCTTCGCTTTGACCAGTTTGGCTTTGTCTTTCTTGCTCTTCTTAGACTTGGTCAGTAAAGCCTCGTTGAAAGGCTGCTTATTTTTCTTCTTCCAAATTCTTGTGAAGCGACTTTTGTGAACGGATTTCAGGAGTCTGGGTAACCGTAGTTATGGCCTGGGACTTCGAGTTGGTTGTGTTCGTCTTAGGCTTGTTTCGGAGCTCTTGTTCTTTCTCGGCCGCTGTCAATGAATCTTCTTGGGGGCTACCGGATGATGAAACTTTATCAGGATTGAGGTCTGCCGAGTCCATGATTTGTTTGTTTGCTTGCTTTTCTTCACTTGGAGAATTTATTACATTTTCTGGATTTTTACTAGCTGCCAATATAAGTGGCTTTGCTGGTTCATCATCATATCTCCTTGCATGCTGCTCATTATCATCATATACTTTATTAAACTCATTCTCCATTGCTTCAGTTCGTTTCTTATGTTCTCCACCTGGAGAGAGCATGTTTTGATCATAAAATCCAAGAGCTCGATGAGCATTTTCTATAAATCGTTTTCGCTTCTCTTCAATCTTCTTCTGAATTTCATCTTCATTGAACTTCTCCATTTTAAGCTGTTAACAATTATATTTTATTTCATTAATGAGTTGTTTATTGGGGTTTTGGGGTTTTGGGGTTTTGGGGTTTTGGGG